CTCACTTTGTCACCCTTGGTAGAGTGCTGTGGAGTCACAGCTCACAGCAACCTCTGGGCTTAGGCGATTCTCTTGCCTCAGCCTCCCGAGTAGCTGGGACCATAGGTGCCTGCCATGATGCCCGGTTGTTTTTTTGTTGCAGTTTGGCAGGGGCTGGGTCTGAACCCACCACCCTGGGTATATGGGGCCAGCGCCCGACTCACTGAGCCACAGCGCCGCCCCCGACCATTTTTTTTTTTTATTGCAGTTGTCATTGTTGTTTTTGGCCATCCAGGGCCAGGTTTGAACCTGCTACGCTTGGTGTATGTAGCCAGCGCCCTACCCACTGAGCTACAGGTGCCACCTGCTCCTACTCTTCAGCAGCTTCTATTTTTTTTTTTTTTGAGAGTCTCACTTTGTCACCCCAGGTAGAGTACTGTGGCATCATAGCTTACAGCAACCTCAAACTCTTTAGCTCAGGCTATCCCCTTGCCTCAGCCTCCCGAGTAGCTGGGACTACAGTCGCCAGCCACTACAACTGGCTAGTTTTTCTATTTTTAGTAGAGATGGGGTCTTGTTTTTGTTCAGGCTGGTCTTGAACTCATGAGCTCAGGCAATCCACCTGCCTCAGCCTCCCAAAGTGCTAGGATTACAGGCTGCTTCTTTGGTTCTTGCTGGCTTGTGATGAGGCCAGGCTTCAGAACCGATGTTCAAGGTGCTGTGTGACTAGACCTTGCTATCTATTCCTCTAGACTGTGTCTTTCCACAGCCTCCACATCTTCATATTCCAGCTGGGACTACAGGCGCCCAACACAATGCCTGGTTATTTTTTTAGAGACAGGATCTCGCTCTTGCACAGGCTGGTCTCAAACTCATGAGCTCAAACAATCTGCCTGCTTCGGCCTCACTGAGTGCTAGGATTACAGGTGTGAGCCACCATGCCTGGCCTTCTCATCTGTTTAAAAGCTAATGTTGTGCTTGCTTTGGCAGCAGGTACACTAGATTGGAATAATATAGAGAAGGCTTGGAGCCTGTAGTACAGTGATTACTGCGCCAGCCACATACACTGAGACTGGTGAGTTTGAACCCGGCCCGTGCCAGCTAAACAACAAGCTAAGGCGGAGGATTTCCTGAGCTTACAAGTTCGAGACCAGACTGAGCCAGAGCAAGATCCTGTCTCTAAAAATATAGCCAGGCGCTGTAATAGGACCCTGTAGTTCCAGCTACTCAGGAGGCTGAGGCAAGAGAATTGTTTGAACCCAAGAGTTCGAGGTTGCTGTGAGCTGTGATGCCATAGCACTCTACCAAGGGTGACATAGTGAGACTCTGTCTTAAAAGAGAAAAATTATTTAACATTTAAAAAATAGGGGGCAGCGCCTGTGGCTCAAAGGAGTAGGACATTGGCCCCATATGCTGGAGGTGGCAGGTTCAAACCCAGCCCCGGCCAAAAACTGCAAAAAAAAAAAAAAAAATAGGGGCAGTGCCTGTGGTTCAGTGGTTAGGGCACCAGTCCCGTATACTGAGGGTGGTGGGTTCGAACCCAGCCCCAGCCAAACCGCAACAAAAAATTGCCAGGCATTGTGGTGGATGCCTATAGTCCCAGCTACTTGGGAGGCTGAGGCAAGAGAATTGCCTAAGCCCAGGAGTTGGAGGTGGCTATGAGCTGTGATGCCACAGCACTCTACTGAGGGCAATAAAATAAGACTGTCTCAAAAATAAAATAAAATTTTAAAAATAAAATTCAGTAAATAAAAATTAAAGTTATTTTATAACATGGCCTATCTTAAAGGCCATTAAAAATATCCATGGAAATAGGAAAACTAGTCAGGTGTTGTGGCGGGTGCCTGTAGTCCTAGCTACTCAGAAGGCTGAGGCAAGGGAAGAGTTTGAGGTTGCTGTGAGCTGTGATGCTATAGTACTCTACTAGGGCAACTAGTACTCTACTCTGTACTCTACTAGAGACTCTGTCTCAAAAAAAAAAAAGGGAGGGAGCGGCACCTGTGGCTCAGTGCGCAGGGCACCAGCTCCATACACCAAGGGTGGCGGGTTCAAACCCAGTCCCATCCAAACTGCAGCAAGGAAATAGCTGGGCGTTGTGGCAGGTGCCTGTGGTCCCAGCTGCTCGGGAGACTGAGGCAAGAGAATCAGAGTTGGAGGTTGCTGTGAGCAGTGTGACACCATGGTACTCTACCAAGGGTGATAAAGTGAGACTCTATCTCCACAAAAAAAAAGTATTGACTTAATGCAAGGATGTGAAATAATTTGGTAGGCTAGGTGGAGCTGTACAAAGAATGGCTGCTCCTGCCCACATGTGTAGATTGCAGTTTGGCAGACCTGCATCTGTCTCCAAGTTTACGCTTCACCTATGTGACCTTGAGAAAGTCACCTAACTTTCTAGAATATCAGTCTCTTAACCTGTGGGATGGGAATGTGAGAAGATTAAATTAAATGCAATGCTTCTGGATCAATAAATATCACATGCCGAATGGTTGGTGAAAGGTGGTCTTGTTAATAACCTAACAGAGGAAAATACATGATCAACATAAAGTAGAAGAAATAAACTTACAGCATGTAATTGTCCCTTTAAAGAGAAAACTCACAATGATCCCCTTTGTTTTAATTAAAACACCCTAACTTGTTACCTATAAGAATTCATTTTCTTGGTTCAGTGCCTGTAGCTCTGCAGCTAGGGCACCAGCTACATACACAGGAGCTGATGGGTTAGAACCCAGCCCGGGCCTGCCAAACAACGACAACTACAACCAAAAAAAATAGTCGGGCATTGTGGCGGATGCCTGTAGTCCCAGCTACTTGGGAGGATGAGGCAAGAGAATTGCTTAAGCCCAAGAGTTAGAGGTTGCTGTGAGCTGCGACACCACAGCACTCTACCAAGGGCGACATAGTTAGATTCTGTCTCAAAAAAAATTCATTTTCTTAGGCTTGAAGAGCCCTTGGCAGACAACATGAGTGCAAGATTCCTACTCCAACTCTCTGCTACAGTTCTTGCCAACACCAGATTCCAAGGAATCGGATAAGCTGAAAAGAACACTTGCAAATGCTTTACTGAAGCAGAAACCAAGAAAAGCCCATTTTTCCCTTTAAAAAACTAGCTGTTTTTCCTCAATGGCCCAGCATTTTCTCCTTTCCTGCTTGTCATGGTTGTTCACTCTCTCTCCTCTTTCTTTCTTGGGAAAATAAACTTTGCAGTTCTTTCTGTCCTAATCACTGTGTGAGAATTCTTTCTCCAACCCCTGTGCCCCTCCTGACTCCTCTGAACACCTAGGAAGTTTCCATCCTAACATTCAGTGAATGAAATCCTTCTTAAAAGTACAGGTTGTTCGGGTGGCGCCTATGGCTCAGTGAATAGGGTGCTGGCCCCATATACCGAGGGTGGTGGGTTCAAACTGGCCCCAGCCAAACTGCAACAAGAACAACAACAAAAAATAGCCAGGTGTTGTGGCGGGTGCCTGTAGTACCAGCTACTCAGGAGGCTGAGGCAAGAGAATCGAGGTTGCTGTGAGCAGTGTGATGCCACAGCACTCTACTAAGGGCAATAAAGTGAGACTCTGTCTTTACCAAAAAAAAAAAAAATACTCTAGATGGTGGTTTATGGCTGGGCCTACAGTTCTAAACCGCTGAGTTAGGGAGGAAAAGCTGCAGGCTACTTTGAACACCCCCTTGCAGCCCTCCCCACCCACTGCCCATAGCTGAGTCAAAGCCAGTTCCCCTGCAAAGGACAAAAGGGAAGGAAATGAGGCTGCTTCATTTGCTCTCTGACTGGATCTATTTCCTCACCCAAGATTGCTGGTATATCTGTCATCTAGCCTCCTTAGGAATGCTGTCCTCATAGGGTCACTTTAATGGCTGGAGGGCCTGGACTGTCAGGAGAGGCAGGCTCCCTGGAGGCAAGGGAATTGTTTGAGACCACCATTCCCAAGCCTCTTCCACTTACTCTGGGCTGCATGCCTGGGGAGCCTATGGAAGCAGCCTATAGAATGTTCTGAGAACATTCTTTGGCCACACTGATCTAATCCAAATTCTATCAGTCTTCCCAATCCTAGGATATTCCTAAAGAATATCTCCTTTTTGGAGAAAGTGAAATAAGTTCTACAGATTATAGCAATGTCAAGTTCTTAGTTTTTAATTGTACTATCTTTATGCAAGATGTTACTATGGGGGGGGGGCAGAAAAGCCCACAGAACCTCCCTGTTTTTTTCAACCCCTTGTGATATAATTATTCCAAAATCAATTTTGTTAAAAAATCTGCTTTCAACTTACTTTCCACTAGCCAAGCCAATATCATCTCCCTCTCAGATCCTTGCAGCCACTTCTAGTCATCTGTTTGGCTTTGGTCTTTTCACACAGTAGTCCATGTAGAGAATCCCAGACGCAAATTTTGCCCCATTCCAAGCTGTAATTACTAGTCTGTTGAATAGAGTGAGCCAGCAGTGCTCAAGGCCCTTCAGACCCTTCCCACCTTATCTGCCATTTCCTTTTATCATGTTCATGCTCTGCATCTCCCGCAGTGCCTGGACTACCCTTCCCCCTTTCCATCAACAGCTAAAGCTCATTTGAATGTCACCTAATGTTAACACTTTCTCACTGGTTAAATGGAACAATAACCTCCATCCTGTCTCTGTAAAAAAATCCAGTGTGATATTGGCTGGAAAACGCCTTTAATAAACGACTATTAATAAATTCTTCCAAGAGAGGCAGGAGCAAGGCGAGCAGATCACGTCCCCCACAACCACGTTAACAAACCCTCAACAGCGGGCGTGGTGGCTCATGCCTGTAATCCGAGCACTCTGGGAGGCCGAGGCGGATGGATTGCTTGAGCTCATGAGTTCGAGACCAGCCTGAGCAAGAGCGAGACCCCCCGTCTCTACAACTAGCCGGGCGTTGTAGTGGGCGACTGTAGTCCCAGCTACTCCGGAGGCTGAGGCAAGAGAATCACTTAAGCCCAAGAGTTTGAGGTTGCTGTGAACTGTTACGCCAGGGAACCCTACCGAGGGCGGCAGAGTAAGACTCTGTCTCAAGAAAAATACCCCCAAACCCAACAACAACAAAAACCCTCAACGGCCAGGCTCCGCCCCTCGAGAAACTCCAACGGTCAGACCCCGCCCCTCGAGGGTCTCTAACGGCCAGGCCCCGCCCCTCAAAGAGCCCCAACGGCCAGACTCCGCCCCTCCAGAAGCCCTAACGGCCAGGCCCCGCCCCCGATGCGTGCGCGGCACCGCGGAGACGTGCGGGCACTCGCGGCGTTAGTAGCTGAGGTGGCAGCAGTCCCGCCAACATGGAGTTGCCGCAGATGCCGGAGCTGATGGGGTTGTCGCTGTTGCTCGGGCTGCTGGCCCTGATGGCGACGGCGGCAGTAGCGCGGGGGTGGCTGCGCGCTGAGGAAGAGAGGTGCAGCCAGTCCGCCCGTAAGTGGGTCCGGAGCAAGCAGGGGCGACAGGCGGGGACCTCGCACCCGGCCTCCGCGTGGTCTTGGGACCGCGCCTGGTGAGGGCCAGGGCTCTCAGGGCCTCGGTTTCTCCTCTTGTGAAATGAGCGTCGCCTCCAGAGACTTAAGTGCGGCCTCGCTGGCTGTCGCACCCCTTGGGCAGGACTCTTTAGGACCAGGGTCGCGCGCTGCAGCTTTTGCAGTGGCCAACTCCAAGCCGCTTTCCCTCTAATCCCCCCACTGCTGCCGGTGGTTTCGGTGAGAGCGTTGTAGATTCTTAAAAGTGCTTCATGTTCTTGATTTTAGAAAAAGCACTGTCGGACTAGTTCGCAGCATACATCGACGTTTATTGAGTACTTATTACCCTGTGATAAGTACCCCTTTGGAATCTTTTCCTTTAAGGAGTCCAGTAAGGGAGAAATACATCAAAAATGTAAATCCATGGGCCGGGAGTGGTGGCTCACGCCTGTAATCCTTGCACTCTGGGAGGTAGCAAGACCACACTGAGCAACAGCGAGACCCCTCTACTAAAAATAGAAAAACAAGCTGGGCATTGTGGTTACCTATAGTCCCAGCTACTTGGGAAGCTAAGGCAAGAGGATCATTTGAGCCCAAGAGTTTGAGGTTGCTGTGTGCTATGACATCACAGCAGTTTAGCCTGGGAGGTCTCAAAAATAAGAAAAAGTGGCTCAGCGCCTGTAGCCCAGTGGTTACTGCACTAGCCACATACACCAAGGCTGACGGGTTGGAACCCAGCCTGGGCCAGCTAAACAACAATGACAACTGCAATAAAAAATAGCCGAGCATGACTCGTAGCTTAAGGCGCCAGCCACATACACCTAAGGTGGCGGGTTCGAATCCCCAGCCCGGGCCCACCAAACAACAGTGATGGCTGCAACCAAAAAATGGCCAGGCGTTGTGGCGGGCGCCTGTAGTCCCAGCTACTTGGGAGGCTGAGGCAGGAGACTCGCTTGAGCCCAGGAGTTGGAGGTTGCTGTGAGCTGTGATGCCATGGCACTCTACCCAGGGGGATAGCTTGAGGCTCAGTCTCAAAAAAAAAAAAAAATAGCCGGGCGTTATAGCCAGTGCCTGTAGTCCCAGCCACTTGGGAGGCAGAGGCAAGAGAACTGCTTAAGTCTAAGAGTTTGAGGTTGCTGTGAGCTATAATGTGACAGCACTCTACAGAGGGCAACATAGACTGTCTCAAAAAAAATAAGAAAAAGAAAATGTAAATCTGTGGATTATGAACATCTAAAAATGGAAGGGAAAAAACGTAGTATAAGTTTCATAGAAGTCAGCACTAGAAACAGAAAACAAGAGAGGGAGTTATCAGCCCTGCTTTTCTGTGGGAGGGGAGGGTATCAAGGCAATCATTTGAGAGCAGGAAACAGGAGGTGGTGTGGGGTCTTGAAGGAGGGTTGTGTAAGGAGTTTGCCAGGAAGCCAAAGAAGACAGTCCTGCCACTGGCAGTACTCAGGAAGGCAAGGAGTCACTAAACAGCATTTAATATGATGTAAGTGCGAGAGGGGATCTGGTTAGACAAGCTTGGAGAAGTAAGCAGTGGCCAGATTGTGGCCATCTTTCTATGTGGGCCTCAGGAGTTTTTTTTTTTTTTTTTCTCTGCAGGAACTGGGGAAAATCTGCTGCCATCTAATGCATGCCAGCTTGGTCACTAGCCTGATTCTCAAATAAGATATTTTTTGTTGTTGTTATTGTTTTAGAGACAGAGTCTCGCTTTGTCGCCCTTGGTAGAGTGCCATGGCATCACAGCTCACAGCAATCTCCAACCCCTGGGCTTAGGAGATTCTTTTGTCTCAGCCTCCTGAGTAGCGGGGACTACAGGCACCTGCCACAATGCCCAGCTATTTTTTTGTTTGTTTGCAGTTTGGCCAGAGCCAGGTTTGAACCTGCCACCCTTGGTATATGGGGCTGGCCCTGCCCACTGAGCCACAGATATTTTATAAGATATTTTATATATAAGTGGTGTCATCCCTGGCACAGGGCTCACTCAGTACATGTTGACTTCCTCTTATTCTTGAGTTCTGCCTGGAACTCCCTTGAACCTTTAACACTTGGTAGTCACTTTGTATATATTATCTCTTCCAACCCCTCTCAACCTGCTGTGTACCCACCCAGCTGCATCTGTCCAGAGTGTGCCTTTTTCAGTTTGCATTAAGGTGCTCTATGGACTTACCATAAGCAGCCGCCTCAATATCAGTCATTGGTAGAGACAGAATCTAAACCCTGGTCTGATTCCAAATCCTGTTTTTGCCTATATCATACTTTTTCTCTTTTCCTGAGGATAAAAGTCGTATCTAGTTCTCTTGTTGTACTCAATGCCTGACCAATCATAGGTGGCCAGTGTTTATGAGTGAATGAATGACTGACATGCCCTTCCTTATAGGTCAAAAAGCAAATGGATTTCCACTTAGCAAATCATTGGGATCCAAGAAGCAGAAACAGCATCAGCGGATTCGCAAGGAGAAGCCTCAGCAACACAACTTCACGCACCGCCTCCTGGCCGCAGCACTGAAGGTATGTGGTGTGCCCATGCACAATACGCATACATAGAGACTCACCACTCCCAGACTTTTCCTTTGTAGTAGTTTGTGCACATTAGAGACTTCTGCATTTGGTCAACATCAGTGAAGATGCCCTAGCTCATCCCTTTTCATCTCAGCCTATCCTCAGCTTCCTCTTAATCCAGGCAACAGGCCTCCAGGTTTGGCTTCTCCATCGGCCTGAAGGGTCCTGTTCACACTTCCTGTAACCCTTCCCCCAGAGCCACAGTGGAAACATATCTTGCATGGACTTTAGCAGCAACGGCAAGTACCTGGCCACCTGTGCAGATGATCGCACTGTCCGCATCTGGAGCACCAAGGATTTTCTACAGCGGGAGCATCGCAGTATGAGAGCCAATGTGGAGCTGGACCACGCCACCTTGGTGCGCTTCAGCCCTGACTGCAGGTGGGACAGGATGGAGCCTCAGGTTTGCCTGCAGAAGCCCAGCTCCAGACTTATGGCATTCCCATATCTGATTTAGGATAGTGAACAGAGACCCAGGGTTTCCCTTGGGGTAACAGAAAGAGTATCAGGAGTACTGCCTGGAGCTCCCTGGAGGGCTGTGCTGCTACGCATCAAGGAAACAGGAAACAACCTCTTATCCAGGGAGTACCATAGCCTGGTTTCTGGTTAAGTCTTGGAAGCTATATTGGAGCTTCTAAAGGAGCCAAAGCCATTAGAACCCTGCTTTTTTTTGAAACAGAGTCTCAATCTGTCACCCTGTTGTGTCATAGCTCATAGCAACTTCAAATTCCTGGGTTCAACTAATCTTCTTGCCTTAGCCTCCTGAGTAGTTGGGACTACAGGTGCCCACCACAATGCCCAGTTAGTTTTTCTATTTTTAGTAGACATGGGGTCTTGCTCTAGCTTGGGCTGGTCTTGAACTCCTGAGCTCAGGCAATCCACTTGCCTCAGAGTGTTAGGATTACAGGAGTGAGCCACTGTGCCAGGCCAAAAGAATCCTATCTTTTGAGGAGGCTTGCAAGATTTTGAACCAAGGAGTGAAGTTGTAAGGGTATATGGGAAGATCTTGATTTTTCTTAGAACCCAGCACAGGACTTAGAACACATAAGCCTTGGGTAGCGTCTCTGGCTCAGTGAGGAGAACACAAGCCCCATATACTGAGGGTGGCAGGCTCGAAACAGCCCCGGCAAAACTGCAACAAAAAAATAGCCAGGCGCTGTGGCAGGCACCTGTAGTTCCAGCTACTCAGGAGGCTGAGGCAAGAGAATCACCTAAGCCCAAGAGCTGGAGGTTGCTGTGAGCTGTGACACCACTGCATTTTACTGAGGGCAACAAAGTGAGACTCTCTCTCTCTAAAAAAAAAAAAAAAGGCCTTAATGTCCAGATAAAGGAGTGACTTGTTTGCTACCTGTCTCTAGAGCTTTCGTTGTCTGGCTGGCCAGTGGGGAAACCCTTCGTGTCTTCAAAATGACCAAGCGAGAAGATGGGGGTTACACCTTTACAGCCACCCCAGAGGACTTCCCTAAAAAACACAAGGCACCTGTCATCAACATTGGCATTGCTAGCACAGGTAAGCAGCTTTCAGAGGGTAGAGCTTGCCCAAGGCATAAAGAAATAGTCCAGTTATATTTCCTGAATGAGTTGATGGTTCCTGAGATACTTGTTCAGCCTCAGTGTGACAAGGGGGCCTCTGGCCCTAAACAGCCTTGCTCTGTGTTGCTATAGAGTTCCAGAAACCACACCAAGTTCCCGGGGAGGCAAGGAAGAGCTATAGCCCTCGACAAAGTCCTTATCTGTGGCGACCCTTGGACTGGGAGGGAAGCATAGATACTTTGGGCAGCAGAGACCTTCTAAGTATTTCTCTGGAGAGTGGCAATTGGTCAGGCCATTGCTTTCAGCTCACATCACTCCCTACCCCCTCAGGGAAGTTCATTATGACTGTCTCCAGTGACACCACTATCCTCATCTGGAATCTGAAAGGTCAGGTGCTATCTACCATCAACACAAACCAGATGAGCAATACACATGCTGCTATATCCCGTTGCAGCAGGTGAGGAAGGAGGGGGGTTGGCATGTGGGATGGGGAGAGGGGCTTGGTGGCAGACGAAGAACAGAGAGTCAGCTTCACAGAGTGGAAAGAGAGTACATGGTAGAGTCAGGAGCCCTGGATTCAAGTCCCAGCTCTCCTACTTGTAGCAATGGAATTTCATGCATGCCATCCCCAATCTTTAGTTGCTGTTTCTTCATCTGTAGTTTGTTTTTGTTTGTTTTAGAGACTGGAGTCTTACTGTGCTGCCCAGGCTGTGGCTATTCACAGGCATGATCATAGCACACTATAGCCTTGAACTCCTGGGCTCAAAGGATTTTCCTACCTCAGCCTCCAGAGTACCTGGGACTATAGATGCCCACCACCATGCCTGGCTTTTTATTTTTTGCAGTTTTTGGCCAGGGCTGGGTTTGAACCCGCCATGTCTGGCATATGGGGCCAGCGCCCTACTCCTTTGAGCCACAGGTGCTGCCCCATCTATAGTTTTTAAAAGGTGAGGCCAGACATAGTGGCTCACTTCTATAATCCTAGCACTCTGGGAGACCAAGGCAGGTGGATTGCTTCAGCTTAGGAGTTCAAGATCAGCCTGAGCAAGACCAAGACCCTGTCTCTACTAAAAAATTAGAAAAACTAGTCAGGCGTAGTGGTAGGTCCCTGTATCCCAGCTACTCAGGAGGCTGAGGCAGGAGGATCTCTTGAGCCCAAAAGATTGAGGTTGCTGTGAGCTATGATGATGCCACAGCATTCTACCCAGGGTGACAGAGTAAGACTCTTGTCGCAAAGAAAAAAAAAGTTGGGGCCAGGAGTACTACGAATCTTAGAACAAGGCTATCAGGGTAAACTGTGTTCACATATAAGGAATTATTGTTATTATTTGTTTTTATTTTTTTGAGACAGTCTCACTTTGTAGCCCTTGGTAGAGTGCTGTGACATCGCAGCTCAGAGCAACCTCAAACTCTTGGGCTTAAATGATTCTCTTGCCTTAAATGATTCTCTTGCCAAATCATTTTTTGGCAAAATGATTCTCTCCTGAGTAGCTTGGATGACAGGCGCCCAGCTATTTTTAGAGAGGAAGTCTTGCTCTGGCTCAGACTGATCTCGAATGTGTGAGCTCAGGCCATCCACCCCCCTCAGCCTCCCAAGTACTGGGATTACAGGTGTGAGCTACCACGCCTGGCCCAGGAATTTTTAAAGGATCAGTGTTGTTCAGATGTGAGATTATTAACTTTGGCAGGAAAGAGATTTAGGGTGTTTGCAGGAACAGGATGCTCTTAACATTAAGTTTTAAAGGAACTTGGGTTGAATGGCAGGTTTGTGGCCTCATGTGGCTTCACCCCAGATGTGAAGGTTTGGGAAGTCTGCTTTGGGAAGAAGGGGGACTTCCAGGAGGTTGTGCGAGCCTTTGAACTGAAGGGCCACTCTGCAGCTGTCTACTCCTTTGCTTTCTCCAATGACTCCCGGAGGTGAGTGAATCCACTCTGACGTCTTAACAGTGACTCTTGGCCTCTCTTGGCAAGCAGGGTCCTTGTGCTATAGCTCTGAAGTGGCTGGGGTGCCTGACCTTAGCAGAAGTAGACCTGGGTTCTTAGCTGGAGCCCCTTGAGCTGTCCCAATACGCTCCCCCCCAGGGTGAATTAGGGCTTGAACTGTGATTTTTCCATGCTACAGGATGGCCTCTATCTCCAAGGATGGTACATGGAAACTATGGGATATAGATGTGGAATACAAGAAACAGCAGGACCCCTACTTGCTGAGGACAGGCCACTTTGAAGAGGCAGGCACCATGCTGTGCCACCTAGCACTGTCCCCTGATGCCCAGGTCTTAGCCTTGGCTATTGGCAGCAGTATTCATGTCTATAATACCCGGCGAGGTGAGAAGGAGGAATGCTTTGAGCAGGTCCATGGGGAGTATATCACCGACTTGTCCTTTGACATCACTGGCCGGTTTCTGGCCTCCTGTGGCGACCGGGCAGTACGGATCTTCCATAATACCCCTGGCCACCGGGCAGTGGTGGAGGAAATGCAGAGCCACCTGAAGCGAGCCTCCAATGACAGCACCCGCCAGAGGCTGCAGCAGCAGCTAACACAGGCCCAGGAGGCCCTAAAGAGCCTGGGTACCCTGAAGAAATGACTCTGGGAAGGCATGACAGGAGGGATCAGTTACCTGCTCTCCCCATTGCTGCTACCTGTCTTTCCCAGGTACTTCCAGCTGGAAAGGAGTCTCCTTATTTTCTTACTGGTCGCCCCTCTCCTCTTTTTCTCATTGAAACTATTTTTGCCTACTTAGTTCCCTCTCTCTCTTCCTGCTGGTTGTGATTCCTCCTAGACTACTGACTAAGGTGCTTCTTTCTTCCTGGGCCTAAGGGATGAAATCTGCTCACCCAGAACCCAGGAGAGTGGTAGAGAGAAGAGAGAACATGGTTTTTGACCTTGTGGTGACTACCCTGATGCCTTAAAAGTTTATAAATATGGAGGCAAAACCAAGGGAACATCTAGATTACTAAGCAATTTTACAAGGGTGGGTGATTGGAGTATCTTCTAATTATAGAACTGTGGTCTGGGGTCAAGGGAAGGCTAGTTTTAATCTAGTCAAGGCTAACTCCATTAAAAAAGTAAGTAAGAGATTTCATTCTGAGCCTCAGTTTTCTTATTTGTAAAATAAAGAATAATCCTGTGACCTCCTTGTAAAAAGGTGGGAAGCTAAGAGAGTATTAAGTCCCTAGTTTTTGAAGAAAAGCAGGAAAAGATAGTAATATTATCCATTGTCATTAACAACTAGGTAAAAGTAGGAATCAGTGTGGCTTGAAACTAAATTAAAAAGAAATAACATTCCTTGGGAAGGCAAAGTTTTCTGGGACTTGATCATATGTTTTATATGGTTCCACTTTAAGTTTTGTTGAAGAATCATAGATTCCCAGGGTGGGGTTTCTCTTTTCAGGAGGTTTTTCCTTTGTGAGGACACCTTTCTTTCAGTTTGTGAGATAGTTGAGTGCTAACTGTGTGCCCAGCACAGCACTAGGCCTGGAGATAAATATGTATAAGACATGGTTTCTGCCATCAAAGATGGCTGGTGGAAGAGAGAGATCAGACATGTCTGTTAAGTGCTTTTTGTTAGTTATTCATAGCTGCAGTAGACTGTTGTAAAAGTCAAAGCAAGAGAGGACTGAATCAGGACAGAGGCCGTGAGTATGAAGTTGAAGGGATAGATTTGATAAGAGATTAGGTGTTTAGAAGTTTGAATGTTGGAATTTGAGGACTGCATGGATGTAGGAAGTACAAGAAATAAGGAATCTAGGAAGACTTGAGTCTAGGCAGAATTTTTTCATCTGAAAGTCTTATGGGTCTCACTAAAACTGGTACTTCCCCTGGTTATCTCCAGCCTATAAATCAACAAGGCACAACCTTGGAGTTATCCTTCATTACTCCCCTTTCATCACCCGCTCTGTCCCACCCCTGCTGCTGCCATCCACTCATTAGAACATTCTTTTGGTCATGATTCACATTACATTCCTACTCTGCTGCTTTTTGCTGCCATCTTTTCTGTTATCATCCTGGTCCCAGCTACTGTCACCTACTGGACCACTATGGTATCACTTTCTAATTGGTGTCCCTGCTTCTTCTGTTGCCTCATTAAATTACTCTTCTATGTAGCAGAGTGAGTTTTTTGAAAATGTAAACCAGATCACATTATTCCCTAGTTAAAACTCTCCAAAGGCTTCCCATCACACGTGGGATAAAATTCAAAATTATTATATGGCTTGCAAGGTCCTATGTAATATGGCTTCTTCCTTCTTCTGTGACCTTTTTAATGCTATCATAACCACCCCAACATTGCTATACACTGAGTAAGCCATTCTGTTCCCTCTGCTTGGAACCATTTTTCTCTTTTTTGGCAATTTGTCATGTAAGTCATAATCCAGTTCTCGTTTGCAATTACGCTTAAGAGAGATATCTTCCCTGACCACCCAATCTGAAGTAGCCCTTTCCACCAGTCATAATCATATCCATCACATTAGCTTTTTACGTTTATATTACTTAATGCTATTTGGATATTTGTTTGCTTTAGGAGTTTCAGCTTAAACGCTTATGGATGTCAAGTGGGTAATATAGTGTGTGAATTGGACCACAGTCATCTGGGTGTTAGACAATAGGAAATGGTGGGGACTGAAGAGAGCTGGAGGGCTTTTGTCATGGATGTGGAATGGGGATGATTGGTACTTATTATTCAAGGAATCCAGCAGAAATTGCCTGTTTTAGAAAAGCTAGAAGTTGGCAACAATTTTTTTTAACATAAGCACACAGTGGACCAAAGAAAACACTAATATGGGCCAGATGCCATCCCCATCTCTCATTGGCAGCTTCCTTCCCACTGGAATGTGAGCTCCACAAGGGCAGACTCCTTGAATGTCTTACTTGCTCTGTGTTCTAAACACAGTACCTGAGACAGAGTAAGCACTCAATAAATGTTGAACTCAAACCAGGGGCAGTCAACAGAAATTTTGGTATCCTCTCTATGTATCTTTCCCTCACTCCCAGTCTCCACTGTGGTTTCATGTTCCTGTTAACAGACTTCTGACTGATAATGTTCTGTACATGAGTTCTGGTGAATATTTACCTTCTGATTGTCAGAAGAATGAGACTAAAAAGCTTTTTGTTTGCATACCAGTTTTGAGAAGCAGCTCTGGCATTACTCTTACTGTTTATCCAAGAGAGGAAATGACCATAATGTTAAGTTACTAAAAGAAATCTTTGGTTTCAATTTCAATGAATTTATTGAATTGAGACCTGTAGTGAAGAACAGTAGGTCATTTGATCTACCTCTCTGAGTTTGTTTCCTCATCTGTAAAATGGGAATAAATCCTGTTCTGCCTACCTTGCAGTGGTGTATTTCTAAAAAGATGTGTGAAAACACTACAAAAAAGATGAACCAGACCTACAAAAAGGTCATTATACAGACTTCTGAGGACAGACTGCTTCTCTCCCTAATAATGAGGCCATTTCTCTTGTAACCATGGAGAGAGAAGGTATTTGGCTATTAACATAGAGCACAGACCACCGAGTTTTATTTGATTGAAAATCCTTATGTGGGCACCTCATATCCCATGTTACTTGGGTCTAAGTCTTCTGGGAAGATGTTCTTATAGGGAAAAAAAAGTCCTTATTTGTGAAGGCAGCATTAATATTTTATGATTACTCTTTCAAATTCTGTGGGTTTGAAATTTTTCATAATAAAACGTTGGGGAAATATTTGTCTTTTTATCATTTTTATTTTGAATCATTTATACCAAAAGGGGAAATATTTAAAAATGGGCTATTTATCACCATTTTATTGGACATCAAAACTAGGGGAAAGAATATAAAAGTGCAGAGTTAAAGGCTTATTGATGGCATTTTGGTCAATTTTTATCAAAGTAATGAGTACTCATATTTAAAAATTATTTCATGCCAGGTGCAGTGGTTCACACCTATAATCCCAGCACTTTGGGAGGCCAAGGTGGGAGGATCACTTGAGGCCAGGAGTTAAAAACCAATCCGGGCAACATAACAAGATCCTGTCCCTATAGAAAAATTTTGGTGTATTTTGTTTTGGGTTTGTTGGAGTTTTTTGGTTTATTTTTTTGAGACAGACTCTCACTTTGTTGACCTTGGTAGAGTGTTGTGGCGTTATAATTCACAGCAACCTCAGACTCTTGGGCTCAAGTGATCCTTTTGTCCCAGCTACAACAAATGGCTTTTTTTTTTTGAGACAGTCTCAGTTTGTTGCCCTCAGTAGAATGCTGTAGAATCACAGCTCACAGCAACCTCAAACTCTTGGGCTTAAGTGATTCTCTTGCCTCAGCCTCCCAAGTAGCTGGGACTACAGGCG